AATCAACCAATTATAGTCGATATTATCCTTCTTACATTCGATGACATGATTGGCTAATATTTCACGGCATAAAGCTTACCGCTCCTATTGTGTTCCAGGATTTATCGTAGAATTTCGCCGTTTTTCAGTTCGTATTATTTTAATCACGCGTATCGATCGTAAGACAAAGCGCCATTCGTTAAAGAATCGAGAGACGCTGCGCTGAAGGGAAGCTACCACACGTCAGAACCGTTTTAAACATTATGAGGGCACGTCGTATCTACCGCAGGACCTAATCTCCGTCCCGCATTAGTTCCATCGATATAACGATATGTCTCGAACACACACACACTCATCGTCATTTCAGCCATGTATACACGCCGGCTTAATCGTTACGTAAGTGCATCACGAAATGCTGGTCGCTATCTCTTTATGAATGAGGGGATAATCGCTTCAATTAAGCCGCTTTCCCATGGATTCCGTATGTGCACGTGCGTGCGTGCGTGCAAGCGTACATACACGGTCCCATCCGGGTAGATTCCATGATGTACGATCGATATCAATAATATCCTACCGCATGTATATATAAAGTATATCGATATCGAATTATTTCGCAGGATCTTTTATCAGTCGAGTCATTTAATACAAACGTGTCGGGTTTTATCATTAATCATCATTTACCGGATCTTCCAGCGAGGCGATCAAAATTGAAGTGAATTATTTTCAAATTATTCCCCTGATGAACAGATTGGGGACAGGATAAAGATTGCATTCACCCGACGTGCGATAATGTCCGAGGAAAAATCTATGAAAACAAATCGTGACGCGTCCATGGAGCCTGCGCGCACCTCATGCCGATATATCGGATTTTCATCGGTTTTCATCTTTCTCTTTTTTATATACGGGTATATAAAAAAATATTACATTCCGCTCGCCGACGGTATTGGTTATTAAACGCTTTCGAATGAATACTGCATGAGCACCGCGCCGCGCTCGAGAATATAACGTTCGTGTGTTGTATCCACTCGCGTCCGTGCATGGGCACATACTCGAGCACGATCTGCGACTGGCGTTAAATAATTTTTTGCTTTTCGCAAAGTGAAAAATGTGATATCCGTAAAAAGTAATCCGCTTGTCCGAACGGTAATCGGATGAACCGATTTAGATTGGGCATACACTCGACCGCAAAAGTCTAGGGAATCTAAGAAAAGTGAAAAATGTGAAGTTGGGAATTAATATTGTTATTGATCTATTTAGATTTACTTGAGAGATAATACTTGGTAATTCAAGAATGAAAAAAATGAGAAAGAAGCAGCGGAGAGCTGACGAAAGACTGAGAAAGAGGCGACGTTGTGTGTCTAAGAAGCATGTCTAAATATACAAACGATCCCGGCGAATCTGCGTTTTTCTCGTATTTACTTTCGTGTGTAATGTCGACCGTTTAACGCGACAACGAGAGAGATCGTTGCCACATCTTTTTTTATTATTCTTTCACGAAAACGTTCTTTGTGATTAACAAAATTAGCAAGCGCTTTCAGAAATTGTAAATAAGCAGACCATAAAGTGAATACATATGCTATAATACGTTTCTTTAGATTTTTGAAAGAATTTTTGCAAGACAAAGAATTAAAATTCTCAAGATTTTTCGCGGTAATATACATCATCAATAAAATTTTGATGTTATAATTATCTAAAAATCTAAAGTCTGATGTCACACATAAATCAAATATGTCCAGAATTCAAAAAAATGAGAAAATATTGCTTTTGTTTCATTTACATTTATCTTATTTGTTTAATTATGGCAATTTACCAAAGCTTTGCAAAGATCATCTTTAAAGTAATGAAATGTCAGAAGATGAAAAGGAATGCAGAAAATTGTGTTAAGAATTGTAAACAATGTTATATAAAATAAATACGTAGTGCGCGCTTTGAACACAGTTTTCTAGTTGAAAAGATACCTCGCTAGTTATTGCTGTAATTACTTGAATTAACATTATTAAACGTATTCGTGACAGAGCAGCAGAAAGCTTGTAGTCTATTCTCTCTCGAGAACTTACTGTTAATCCTGAATTGTGAAGTTTATGAGATTTGTGTTTGTACTATTCTCACAAACGGGTGTCTAGACTTTCCGTTTACCGCGGAAAAGTTCAAAATTACCTTTCCGGAGGTATTACCTACTACAGCATTCATTCATCATTCACAACCTGTCGTCTGGACCGTGACTGTTCCAACTAATTTGGTCCGCGCATTTCTTTCCGCAGAGTCAACGAGCGCCAAGAAAAGCCCACAGCTCTGTTTGCTTTTGTTCTTCTGAACTATTTCCAATTTGTTTTCCTGAAGCAGTCAGCAACTCGAACAAGCTAAGTTCTTTTGTCGAACGAGCGTCCCTCGCTCATGTACAAATGAAATAGATCAGTAGATTTTTACATTCACGAGTTTTACCATTGTTTAATATTCATCTTTACACCGTCAGAAACAGAATTATGATAATAAAAGATTGTAGAATTTTTCACATATTAGAATATTTTTTTATATTTAAGTTTTGTAGACTTTTGTAATCGAGTGTATGCCCGATCTAAATATTTTATCCGATTACAGCTTGCTTACTTTTTACGCATTAAAATCCTATAGAGAAAAAAGGCTGCAATTACCGCAATTTAACTAAATAATTTATATAGCCACATGTTTAGTGTTAAAAGAATATTTTTTAATAAAACTATAAGTATAAGAAATATTTTTTCTCTAATATTATATCAATAATAACTATAATAGTGGAGCTCCTAATTGTAGCAATTTTATTATGCAATTATAATTATAAATACCAAACATTTTTCTTCAAGTAATAATATCAGAACGGCGCAAATTCAAAAATTGAATTGTATGTGCAACGTATACTATTTTTAATTTTTATACTCTTACATGATGATAAAATACTCTTTCATGATAAAAATTGATAAAAAATAAACGTAATTTAAGTTTTTAATGATAGATCATCGCAAAGATGAAACAAATAATACTGAGATTATAGTAAAATTGAAATAATAGAGATATGAAATATGGTACTGTTGATAGTGATCGAGTGTTTAGTTAAAGGTTAGGTACCTGGTAGAGTATTATTTGCTAAGCTAATGAGTAGTTTCCACGTTGTTCAACAATCAACAAAGGCGAACAAAGGACTTCCGGTCACGTCGGCGGACCGTCGAGGACTCTGCCACCCGTCTAATTTGGACTCCTTCACGCGACAACTTTGCTAACAGTAGTGACGGTGCTATGTAAACAGCTGCACTTCCCTCACTGTTAAGTACGTTGTGTTAAGAATTAACCCACCTGAGAGCACATATAGTGTAATGGTAATGGGACACACTTGATAAATAACGTAACATTTTCTTTAAAAAATTTCGCAATATAGCTTTTCGCCTTTTCTATATTCCTAATTTTCTTTACCTATTGTTTTTTTTCCACAGAAATGCTTTTTTGTCCAACTTTTTTAATACTAACGCGTAATTTTTATGACAAAAAAAATATATATATACATATACACACATACTTGTATATCTAATATACAATAACATAACTTTTAAATCTAATAATATAATTTTATCATTACTATTCATATTTAATTATACGTACATTAAAAAAGCTCGTGTTTTATGCAAAAAAATATAAAAATAAATCTTTTCTTATAATATATTCTGTTTCTGAATTAATGACGCAACAAGAACAAGATATTAATGATCTCACCCCCGAAACAAATACGTGGAGGCAAACATGAATTTATTCAGCAAGCACACGTGAATGTATCGACACGAATGAAAGAGCTCTCTCAAAGACAGATAACGAGGCAGCAAAAATAATGATATGCGCGATGCCGAGCGTGCAATTTCCTAATGTGGCCATTTTGCCGACGGCTGAAAACATCTTTGATTATTCGCGTAATAAGCGAACGGCACGAGTTAAAGTGCTAATGGGCGCGCGATAATCATTCGGACGCGGATCTAAGGAACACGGAAGGGCTGGCACTTCAGCGTGCGGTGCAATTTTTACTCTTTCGCGGAATTTTCTGCACTGACTTCTTCTCTTTTTGTTCTACAACAACCGCAACGTACTCTGCTAACAAAGTGTGTTAATGGCGCGTGGCTGATTAAAGGTTGTAATCCTGATGTCCGTAACTCCAGCTCTTCTTCTTCCGCGCGCGTTTTCGTCTAAAAAGATGAAAATAAAAGGTAACGCTCTTTGTTCGCGACTGACTCGTCGAGCTCGTCGGTCATTAAAGTCGATCTTCGATGAAAAGTCGCCGTCGTATTGCCTCACTCCGCCGCGCTAGAAAACGCGAAAATGCATACTGCACTCATGGGACCGAACCTCGAGCATTGGAAAACGAGTGCGTCTCGTATTTCTTATTTTACGGAAGGTAGCGCGGTATTCCGCGGAAAATGCACAGTAAGTATCCTCTCTGTCTCTCGAGAACTCGAAGAGAGACTGAAAATATATATCGCTTAAGGGAATACTATACAAAATCGAGTAAGGATACGTAGACATCGCCGGCCTACAAGCAATACGATCGTAACGTTTCGAAATATAATCGATAAGATATATTTTTATTACTGTTATACCGTAATGCTGCAGTAAACATTGACATTATTTCGAGTAACTATCAGTGGGAAACGTTTCTGTTAATTAAATTAAAACATTTTTCGTTGATAAGCTCGATTTTAGAACGGCCATAGACTCAAGATAACAGAGACCCATTTTTACTCAAGGAAATTGCATGACGTACTTTACGACGTGCTTCAATTTTTTCTAATTTAGATAAATACACGCAAAAATGAGCGACAAATCCCATGGATACTTGGCGCAACGTCGGAAATCATCCACGTTTGTGTAATTTCCGGTCGAGTTAATAGAAGCGTTTAGCAATCCATTTTCCGTGCACTTTAACGATGCTTCGATAAGAACGCGCTGATGGAATAATGTCGCAACCAGCGCTTTGGCTGGGATTCGGTATAAAAGAAACGCTCACACGTCGCGAAACATCGCAATTTTGTTAAACGCATAGCCCAGCATGTTCCGACTTCTTTTCTTCGTGTTGTTAATATTCTCAGCCGTTTCGGCCGAATCATGTATCATTAAGGATAAGAAGGTACGGAGAATCAACTTAATCTTGCCGTGCAGACGCGTAGTGCAAACTATAGTGTCAAATCGTGATTATGTGTTAATCTCACTTGGTCGTTCCGTCTTAGGGAGATCCGGATATTCAGGTGATCGAATTGGACGACTCCAGCAACGACTCCGTGAGTAAACGTGTCGCGTGATTTCGCACAAAAATTCCTAACATTACTGATATTTAATAGCTTGCCAAATTATCTTAAGTTTATTGCCAAACTTGTACGCAAAGAGTAGAATTTGTAACGAATTTTGCGGTAAAATATAACGAATGTACGATCATCCTAATAAAATTAACATCTTCCATGTTTTATAAGAGCGAACCAGAAATCGTTGCTCTGCAATTCTCAGACAGACGAAGAAGAGAAGTCATCGAGGTCAATAATAAGGAAAGAAGCAACTTCTGCAAGAACGATGATGACTGCGGCTCAGGATTAATCTGTTTAGCACGTCTAACCTGCGGTACGTAATGTACTGTGTAAATTTTTCAGAGTAAAAATTTACCTTAATCGATAGTAAAAATATTGCTTTTTAGAATGAAGTGATATTTATCTTTTCATACGAGTGAGTGACTATACTTAGTATATTTAACTCTTAATTGCTCTCAACTATAGCGCGCGAATGTTTCATTTGTTTGAAATGAAACGCCAGTCAAAATAATTTCAGAATATGTGACTAAGAGTTTTAACCTAAAAGAAAAAAATATTTAAGTAGATTCTTGTTAGCACTTGAAAGAAATGTTGCCAATATTTTCACATATTCGTAATATCGACAACATCGATACTACGACAATATAATGATCAGTTATCAACTCACTTATAGAATTTCTTGCTTGGAACGTGCACTTCACTAGCCATTATAGTGACGTAAAAATCAGATTCACTTTTTAATGAGTAAGAAGCACTAAAGATCTTGCTTGACCGTTCATGATTTTTATTTCCTGCTTGTTTACGAGTGAAAATATTCAATCCACGACAAACAGTGGAAGATTTCATTCCATATGAATGGAACGTAGCACTAAAATTCGATAATCATTCCATTTTTCCAGTGAAATTTTATTTCAAAAAATTTAGACAGTAATGTAATTTGGTTCTGCGGATTCTTTTTTAGATCGAAATTCATAGCCATAATAATAATAACAATAACGATAATAATAATAATAAAATACTTGACAAAACAAATATAATCGAACATGTTTTTGTGCAGTAAAAGGAACACGGCGAACAGAAGATCCTCAGGAAACAGTCAATTAAAAATGGGCAATACAATAAGAAAATAACAATGACGTAACGGTGGCGATTCCATGTATTATGACAGTATACCGATGAAATTTTTTGTAGAGCAATCTCACTCTCGTCAAACAATGAATGCGTTTGCATCAATCCAATGATCGATTTGCCATCATCACTAATATCCGGCGGATATCTGTTTGTTTATCTATATTTCGCGCGCCGATGAAATTTTCCACTATACATCCATCCATTGTCAATGCATGAATATAACATAAACGGAAAATATTGGACATTTAATGGCGACCCGACCATGGTCGCGGACGCATGTAGTAAACCGGTTAAGTTACATTTTACACGCGGATTCTGAATATCAGCGAGAGGGATACGGCCGGTGTAAAAGCTCTCCGCTCCTTCTTCGCCTTGAAAAAAAAAACAAACAGTATCGTCGAGGAAACATATGGCGCCGTACGATAGGGACTCATTAACGGCAGAGAAACGGAGCGATGCGAGTGAGGAGCACCATAAGAAAGGGGGGTTAGCCCTCTCGTCGTCGTAAATTTAGTAGGAACAACCGCTTTCGCCTGCAAGCTCCGCTTGCAGCCTCGTCGCAACCGCAATCCCGATCGAAGTTGGTAACGTCGCGTGTCATCGAAAAATCTTACTGTGCGCGCGTTAGAGATTTACACTCGAAATCAATTAGCTCCTAATTGACACGGATGAGATCGCGCGAGTATAGTTTTATTGGAAAACCATCGGGTATTGGTGATGTATCGATCGTAGAAGTTAGTCTTGACATCGCTTGGGAGTTTGTCAGCGCGAAAGACTTTCGATGTATAGAAGAAAATTTCTGTTATATAATCTAAGTAATAATAAATATTCCAGGTGAACGGTTATATACATGAATAAAATATCGTAATGAATTATAAAGTTAACCAGATAACAATGTAAAATAAATGTTGCATGTCTCAAAGTTGTATGCGTCTCTGCTAAAAGCCAATCAATTATTCACTGATGCATCTACCCTGCGCGTTTGGCGATGCAAAAATAAATATCGTGTCCAATAACGTACGGGGAAATCGGAGGAAATTGTCGGCCTCGACGAGAGAGCAGCCAGTTGGTGTCTCGTAAAACCTCACGGCGGCGCGGAAAGATTTACGATTCCAGCAAGAAGAAACGTAACATCCGTAATATCCTTTCTTCGCGAAGAGGTGGACGGTGATTTTTCATGCGGGCCATTCTTCTCTCGTCACGGAGCTTCGTTTAATTTTATTTTAATACGGAAAAAATGGATTCTCCCTCCCTGTAACGCGCGTAACGACGGTGAAGCACCCGAAGAGATTCGCGAGGGAGAGACGATCGTAAATATTTGCACAACTCGTTGGCGTGGCGTCTGGTAACCGCAAGCGACCAAATTTCGGGTATGTCAAAATATTTAAAGCCGAGGGCGCAATTAGCGAAACCCACCTTCACTCCTGTGATTGGTACCGGAAACTCGCGGTTTCTCTCGTTCGTCGCTTTCTGTCATTTTTTGTCAGCAGAAAAGCGATTCACTTTCATCGTTTCGCATGAAACGTTATAAAGATATACTTTTGATATGATTTAATCTGTCATTAATCTATGGAATTTAGAAAATTTGAACTGATACATAGATTGGCTTTTCCTCGATACAGCCTTTCATAAAAAGTATAAGTGAAAAAGTCAGGAGAAGGTGATATCATGGTCAGTGTAGATATATATGTGTATAATGGTCGCTTTTAACATATTTGCTATTAAGTGGTGAATTCTAATGATTATTTATGAACTTATTGCCTTGGTAGCTCGCCCTATGATGTTAACATTGCAATACACAATCGGTCCACTCAACTTCTTATTAAAATTTTGTGCTATATTTTTAATGTATCCAAATATTAATTTAATATATCGTGATTGTATTATTTAAATATTTTATTAAATTATTATTCAACACATTTTAATGTCAAAATAACATTTATGATTACAACAAATAATATCAAAATAATATATTAAAAATTCTTGTAAAATGTGCAAATAAATAAAATATATATAAATTTAACGTATGTAAATGTTAATTTTACTAAAAAAATTTAGACAATTTGTTTATATCATAAATTGTATTGATGTTACATTTTTGTGTTATTTATATGTTTTTATTATTTTCTAACGTATTCATCTTATGTCAAATTAACAAAATTATAAACAGATTGTTTGAAAAAAAAAAACGAAATGTTAAATTGAACACAAATTTTCCAACTGTATGAAAAATATGTCTGGAGAAATGTACAGAAGTTTATTTTGGACGACGACAATATAATGAGTCATTTCGCAGGGAGTTGACGAAAAATAGGCGTTGCAAGAGAAAAATTCCGGCACGCCGCGCTGGCCCGAGGCTGCGAAGCAGGTCGCGTTTTTCTGCGCTCGATTTAAACGTCGTCTACGTGACAGGCGTGAAACCACCGCACGCATTCGCGCGTGGTACCACGCGTAGATTGCGACGAACCGTGGCGGACTCGTCGCTTCTCGCCTATACTGCGCACCCTTTTTCCTACGGATTTTATTTATCGTACGAATGATTCTAACGAAGGAATATAAATCGGCCATGTCTCGTGTTGCGTGCGTGCAGAAAAGAGCAAAAATAAAATCTGGGTTGACGGAGAATTCCGAGCAAAAATGCTGTTAGAAGCGTGTCTCATATTTAAGAGAGAATAGAATGCCTTTACTTTTTACCTCTACAATGACATAAAAAAAATTAAAAGAGTCAATATAAAATTAAAAATCAATTAAAAATATTTACGTAATCTATGTATTATACACAATGCAATACACTATAAAGTAATATATTATACTATGTAGTGAATTAATAGAAAAGTAAATGGATTTATTGAAATGCAATTTATTATTGCTAGAAATTCATCTACGCAAAATGTATAAAAATTCAAATGTCAAACATTTGTATAGACTTTCCAATTCCCAATGAACGAGAGTACGCCGTAATGATCAGGTGTCAAGAAAATCGTCGGTTAACTTAGGACAAGCCGGTTCATTTTTCATGAAGCGAATTCCTCGCGCACGTTCACGTAGGACGTAACGCGATGGACGTCTAGAACGGTGCACTTACACGGGACATAATATACGTCGGACCAAGGACCGTAACTGTCCCCGTATATTATGTCCCGCGTGTCCGGAGACACGCGTTCCAACCGGGTGTATCCCCGCCAAACAATGTCCCGGAACGTCAGCCTAAACGATTCCTCGTGTCTGCAGTTATTTCGACAATTAATTGTTCGTTCGGTCGTTTTATTATTCCCTACTTTTTCTTTTCATTTTCAATCTTACCTACTTTGAAATGTTAATTAAATTTGCTTAATCAAAATGCAATGGCAATAAACAAGAAAAATCTTAATTAAATATTGAAATCTAACTCAAATATTATACATATACAGTAAAATGCTTGTTGTATTTGTATTAAAATCAATCTGTGTAAAATTTTTTGTCTCAGACTTTTAACACGTTCAAGTGTTAATTTAATATAATACGATTCTATTATTTCAATATTTTGTTAAATATTTTGTGACATTAATATTCAACATTTCTTAATGTTAAACAACAATTTATAAGTAAAGAAACAAATTATACTTTTCCAAACGTAAATTTTATGATAAACACAAAAATACCAAAAGATTTGCTGCGGTTATCGCCGGATTTTTATTCATTGCCAACATTTCGTGAACCTTGCCGTTTACTTCATCAGGGTGAGAAGTGCATTGATACTGTATGGTATCAACGTCCTGATGAAGTGAACGACAAAATTTACGAAATGTTCGCAATAGCAATGGATAAAAACAATAACCCATAAAAATCTTCTGGTATCTTGAAAATGATACCGTGAAAGCCTCAAAAACACTTTTTAAGATAAACAAATAAAATATGTTATTTAACATATAAATATTAACTTTACTGAAGAAATATGCTTCCTTAAATTACTTATTGCTTACACATTATGTTAGTATTATATAGTCTGTATTAATTTTTTACTTTACGTTACTTCTTAACATGTTCATTAAATTAACACAAAAATTTAGGACGATCGTTTGAGACACATAATAAAATGTGTTAAATTCCACACAAATTTTCTAATTGTGTAAATAAATCAATCATTTGTCAAATAAAATCACTTCTTAAATATAAATAACATTAAATATAAAACTTAAAGATTAATTATATTCAAAACTATCTTTTTCATTAAACTTCTATCGCTTTGGCATAATATTGAATCAACTGATGAATTTCATCTCAACTTGCACTATCTCACAGCTTTTGCAGTACACTAGAAAATCCTCCCTGAGGACGAGAACGCTAAGATGACGACGGCTTTTAACGATCGTTCTCTATGGCGGCAAGCACCGCTAGGTCTTCTCGCAGTTGGGAGCAGAACAGGAGGCGTCTTCTTCCCGCGAAAGTATCTGGAAAAATTCCTTTTTCCTCTTCTCGTCGAAGATTCAGAGGCGCATAGTCGGCAGTCAGAAGGGATCGCGACCCTTTTAAGATCCGCTGCATTCCTATGTTCTGTTATTTCTGTTTTTCGCGGCTTGATCCGAGATTGCTACGTTGTTTCGCTATGCAATGCAATGCAGTGAATGGACCGTTATTGATCAATGTCGCGAATAAAAACTCGATTGTTTAATGCCAGAAAACAATTTTTTAATTTATTAATACCTTTTTTATGAAGGATTTATATCAAATTTTTCAGGGCAGTTATCTTCCTATCAGCTTTTTTATTAAACATATATACTCGTAACAAATAAACACATCAATATAATGTAATAAAAATAAAATCGCACATATAGAACGCAATATTAAATGACGTTCATGCATCGCGTTATATGCTAATGTATGTGCTTGTCAATGTGTGTACTTGTCACTGTGTCGATAAAATGTGACAATGGTATTCAGGATTCCATGAAATTGTTGGTACTACTCATGTTAATCGCAGCGCGCTGGAAAACTCGCGTTTCAAGGAGAACGAAAAAGTATGCGAGTGTTCCGTTGTTGGAATTAGCGTTCTTCTTGGTTTCAGAGAGCGCTCGCATTTCGTTCGACATTTCGTGACCGAAAAGCCTCTCGCATAAAGTACATTTTTACGTCGTCGGAACGTCGCGCAGCTCGATGCGAAACGTTTATGTACGCGTATTAAAAAATTCTTCTCTCGAAATTCTCGGGAATCCAATCTTTTTCCTCCTCGACAGTACGGCGCGCTCGTTACCGGGACGTGCGCAGTCGCGAGACACGGAGGAAGCCGTCGTGGAAATAGAGTGTAAGCTCTGAGAGGAGATTCACGAAGCTGAGAGACAGACACACGCGTGCATATAAACAGTACGAGCAAGCGAGGTGATTTTCAGAGGCAAAATGAGCGAGCGAGAGGACAAATTTTATATAGAGGAAGACCAGTGAGAGAAACACAATAGAGAATAGAATACGATCTAAAATTAAGTCCTTTGAAAATGCTATACATGAAAGATGAATTGTGGTCAATGAATATATTGTATAAAAGCATCGAAAATATTACATATGCTAATATATGAGAGATTTATATATATATCCTTTTGTAATTATTAACTACTAATATATTTATTTTTATAGTTATTATCCTTTGTGTAATCACATTTTTACTCCCTTCCTCTGTCTGAATTTGGATTTTTTTTTAAACATAAATATAATATTAAAATCTTTATTTAATAAAAATTGAGCAAAAACAAGGAAAAAATAGAAATTTGTTTAAAATATATAATCCAGTAATAAAGGGGTTCCGTCTTTCTTTATTTCAGAGAGAAATTTGGCTTCTGCCAAAAAAGATAAACAATTAATCTA